GCAGTCGAAACAAATCGTGAGCGCCCTCTGGAGAAAATTTAGGAACTAAGAGAGAGAGAGAGAGAGAGAGTAAAAGTAATGAAGAGAGAGAAAGAGAGGGTCACGGGAATAAATGATCGATTAGCACTTTGTAATTACACGGAACCATTTGACTAGTAGCCCCGTGTAATTACCAATCTCATTTTTGCAATTCGGACCTTTTTTGGCCAGCAGCAATGAGCCGACCAAAAAAAAGATCGAGATTGCTAATTTTATTTCGAATCGGTCCATTTTGCTTATATTCTTTTTTTAAAAAAAAGTTTATTTTCAAAATTTCTCCAAGAAAAAATTATTTGTACCCAAGAAAGGAAACCAGGTCTAGAAAGATCTAATAGCGATCGCCTTATGACGTGACCGGACAAAACCTGACTTGACTCAACACAACCAAATGATTAGTCCTTCACCCACTGTTTGCGTAACGTAGTGTTCATTGTCTGAGTTGAATTGGTCTCTTCTCCGTTCTCAACAGTGGCTTAGACCTTGTATCACTTGCGTTGTGGACACGTCTTAAGTATGCGCAGACAGTCCTAGGATAAACACTGTAGCTGCAGTTACAGTGAAAGCCACTAATCCTTTCATATATAGTACTGTTTCTCTGCATGATGCTTTCATGGTCTTCAGTTAAAAACTGAGGAAAAAATAGGGGGGTGGGGGGACAAACAACATGAATGCCCCTAACTCTTGGATTAAAAATCAAATCGAGTAGTTTACTAATAGAATTATTTAGAGGTTAATTTACAGAAAGCTTCTCTCAACTTTTGTGGACTTGCAGTAAGTCCTCTCAAAAAAAAATTCCCACTAACACCCCTAAACTTTAGGAGTTATTACACATAACTCTTCTAAATTTATTTCTCTAAATTTTATCTTAAATTTTATCTTTTTATCCTCGTATATAACCATCAACTCTAACATTTGACTGGACAAGCACAAGACACAAAATATAAAAAATAAAATCCCAAGAAATCACCTTTTTATTAAAAATATAAAATGTTATATAGTCTTTTTTAGTGCTAAAAAGTAATCTCCAATTAATAGCAGACAAGTGTCACACATTATGCGTAATCAAACTAGCTCTTCACTTCAAGATAACAAAAAAAAAAAAAGCTCGGGCCACTCGATACGCCAACATCTCACGAGGGCGACTGGAAAGGCGTTACATGTCGACCCCTGACTATGTCGACTTCTTGATCAACCTACTCAACCAACCATTCAGCTGACATCTCGCGAAGGCGACTGGAAAGGCGGTACTAATTCTCGACCTTCTACCAAACGAGTAGAAATACGATGACTACCTCGAGCCCCCTCCCGCACAATGACAGCTGATAAAAGGTGGAGACCGCGTTTCTACTAGTTTGATATGTACGGTGATAACATTCTTTACCATATGGAACTCAAGAATTAGTATATTTCCGATCAGTTAACGAGTCAACTTACTCCTCTACTCAAACAGATCACTCTGTTTAACCCTTTTCTTAAATAGGCTTCTTTCATGAATCATTACCGAACAGTACAAAATATGAATACAACAACAAACTATAAGTAGTACAAAATAAGTACTTAATATTCGTGTTAAATAACATAAATACTTACCGGCCTCCCGCAGTAATTAATCCTTCTTTACTAATAGAAATAACAAACCCTAGCGAAGAAGTGAGATTAAGAGCATAAACATGCCAACATTAATTAGAACAAAACTTGTGCAACAAAAAGGAAAATGAGAAACCCTAACCCTAGTTCATCTTCTCTCAACATCAATACTTATGACATTGAGTAGTAGTCCAAGCCAAACACATCACCACTATCCATCCCACGCCACTGGGAGACCTGCGACGCCGACTCAGAAACAGGCCCACCAACCATCAACGGAGCTCTAAGATGATCCTCCCCCCAAAGATCTTCCTGCTGCCAATAATTACAATCATGCCCTCCCCAAACATTCTCCTCAAAATTACCTGAAGAAGAGCCAACTGCTGCATTATGATGATCACTAACATCATCCTTTGAACTTGATCTCAACAAGCTCTCAGGAACAACACTACTCAAATCACCAGACCCTCTATCTTCATCAAACCGAAACTCGCTCGCCACATCAAAAACTGGCTCAGGCTCACTACACGCAACATGTGTTGTGTCGGTTGATACATGCTGTAATATAGGCGCATTTTGGGTAACTAGGATTTGGCTGACGTTAAGGGGAGCATAAATGAAGTTGGTTCTGGCTTGGGCTCCTTTCATTGAGATTGCGGATCTGTCATAAGCTATGGCAGCTTCTTGTGCAGTGTCAAAAGTGCCAAGCCAGTGCCTTTCTTTAGTGGTAGGGTCTCTTATCTCAGCTGCATATCTACCCCATGGCCTCCTTCGAACTCCAAGGTAGCGGCCGGGCTCGGTTGATCTCCTCCTTCCTCTCCTCTCATTAGGGTTTGGGACTCGTGGGGATGGGAGGAAGCTTAATGGGTTGAGAAATGTAGTGGAAGTCATTCGAAGGTGAGGGGTAGGGTTAGGGTTTTCTCTGGTTGAGGATTTACTTGTGAACATTCTGGAAATGTGAAGGCTAAAGGGTTTGAGAGTTTTCTTAGAGGGTTTGAGAGCTGAGAGTGAAGAGAAGATGAGGGATGAATTTAAAGAGGTTGAGTGATGGACAGGGGGGTGTTATGATGTTATGGACAATATCTCTTGGTGTACTGGCTTAGCTAGTGTGCTAGCATATAGGTTTATTTTATCTGTTTTTAGGGTTTTTGACCTAATTAGGGTGATGTTATGATCTTACGGTGTTTTGGCTAAACTTAGTGTGATGGTGGTGCATCTATATTTGGATGCTGCCACTGCAGTAGTTAGCCTCTTGTGTTTGCCTAGTGTTCTTTGTGGCAGTGTTCTTTGTGTCTTAGACCATCTCCAACCGGCCTCTATATCTTCAAAATCTTTAAATTTGGAGAGTGGAACCTCTCCAACCACTCTCCAAATTTGGAGATCTCCAAATTTGACCCTCCAAATTTGGAGGGTGAGGAGAAAAAATGAAGGGTCTCTCCATAATACTATTCATGATTTATTAATTATAATTTTGCCATTTTTAACTATTTGATTTCTTAAAAATTACCGCTTTGCCATCCTTCTTAGTAATTTAAATTAGATGTTTAATTTTAAATAAATATAGTTAAAAAATTATTAATCTAATATTTGAAATCATTATATATTTGGAAAGGGCTCGTTGAGATCTTTAAAATAAAACTAAGATTAATTTATTTTAGTATTATTATAAAATTATTAATTTTTAAATTAAATAAATAAGTATCAGACAAGAAATTTTAAATACGGGGATCTATTTAACTTGCTCCATAAGAAAATACAAGCATAAATTATAATATTTAAATTACATTCCTTCGTTGCCGTGCTTCTGCCATAAATGTTCAATTAGTGCGTTTCGAAGCATAAAATGAGCTTCCTTATCTTGAATCTTCCTATGTCGATCAAGGAATCGTTGGAATCGTTCGACATCATCAATATCTATCTCTTCAGGTCTTGAAATTTCGTCATGAACAATAATCTCTGGTTCTACATCGCGTTCATTCTCCACAGTCATGTTATGTAGTATAATACAAGCAGTCATCGATGTATGCTTTCACTATTATTTTTAGAATTTCTTCTTTTTTAAAGCTCTCATCGACACCTTTATAATGTTATAAAAAAAATTTCCAAATAAATTATTAACAATAAAATTATTAACGTAAACTATATCTAACATTATTTAATTTATATGGATTTTTGATAAAAAATAAAAAAAAATATTTGGAGAGTGTGGGTTGGAGCAACCCTCCAAATTGGAATATTCCTAAAATATTTCAATTTGAAAGGTGAAATTTGGAGGGTATGGTTGGAGATGCCCTTATGGATTTGTAGAGCCTTGAGAAAGAAACAACTTAATATGAAGAGACCTCTATATTTTTTTTTTGGTCAATGAAATTTTTTTATTCATTCACCAATGAAAGAGATTATATGTACAACATGATACTCAGTTATTATTAACTGAGATTGCAAGAATACAAGGAAAATACAAAAAGCCCTTACAATATCAAGGGATATTCATCTCTATACTTCAGAATAGTACTGTTAAGGATGATAGTCGCTATATCGATCTTTATCACTCTCACCAGCTGGTCTTCATTTCTATTTTGCTGCTGAAAAAGTCTTAGATTTCTTTCTCTCCAAATGCTGTATATTGTAGCATTCAATGCTAGTCTTTTAATCCTTTGCTTTGCTCCTTTTCCCCTTAGCCTGGCATTATACCAGACCTGAAGCAGCTGCTAGTTCGTTGATCTCCAATCAAATTTCAACCATTCCATAATGTGATTCCAAACATTGCATGAGAAAGTGCACTCAAAAAATAGATGATCTCTAGTCTCCAAGCAAGAACCTGTACACAGGCTACATGAATTAATAGAGATGATTCCTCTCTTCATAAGTCTGTCTTGAGTTAGCAGTTTGTTCTGAACTGCTAACCAGTGGATAAATGAATGTTTAGGGATAGATAAATCATCCCAAATTGTTTTGTACCACTGAACCTTACTGGCAGCAGGGGCAAGAGCTTCATATAGAGCAGAGAGTTTAATTTTTGATCCCTGGCAGCAAGAGATAATGAGTTCTTTCAGTTTACCAACTCCTCCACAAAAGACAATAGCTTTGTCTCTCATTTTCAACAGTTGCCTCCATAACCAAGAATCACTCCTCTTAGCACAAATTTGCCAGATATTACCTTGTTTGAGATAGCTCTCATGAACCCATTTAATCCAAAGTGATTCTTTGTTTTCATGAATATACCAAATTGTTCTAACAGCTGAAGCAAAGTTCCAATGTACAGCAGAAAAAATGCCCAGGCCACCTCTGCTTTTACCCTGACAGACTTTTTCCCATAAAACTAGTGGTGGCTTTTTGTGAGCTTGGTTTGTTTTTCCCCATAGAAAGTTTCTACACATTTCATCAATCTTATGCAGGACACTTATTGGGAGTATATAGGCAGATGTCCAATAGATTTGGATTCCCAAAATGACACTTTTAATAATCTGTAGCCTGCCCGCATATGAGAGGTTCCTATATTTCATCCAACTCTGTAATTGATTAGTTATTTTTGAGAAGAGAGGCTCACAGTCCAGGAAAGATAATCTCCTAGAAATGAGGGGAACCCCCAGGTATTTGATTGGCAAAATTCCTTCAGTAAAACCCAGAATTTGGATTCCCAAAATGACACTTTTAATAACCTGTAGCCTGCCCGCATATGAGAGGTTCCTATATTTTATCCAACTCTGTAATTGATTTGTTATTTTTGAGAAGAGAGGCCCACAGTCCAGGAAAGATAATCTCCTAGAAATGAGGGGAACCCCCAGGTATTTGATTGGCAAAATTCCTTCAGTAAAACCCAGATGATTTGCTATAGAGGATTTTACAGATACCTCTAAACCCCCATAGAACACAGAGCTCTTTTCAGGGTTTGCAACAAGGCCTGATATTGCACTAAACTCCTTAACACATTGTTGCAACTTTTGCACAGAATAAAGTTCACCTTTTTCAAACAATAGGAGATCATCCGCAAAAACAAGGTGAGTAATTTTGAGCTTTTTACATCCTGGGTGAAATTTGAAGAGTTTGTCATTCTTTAAGGAATTCAACATCCTAGAAAAGTACTCCATTCCGAGAATAAAGAGGTAAGGAGAGAGGGGGTCACCCTGCCGTAGACCACGCTCCCCTTTGAAGTACCCATGGAGGGAGCCATTAAGAGAGATTGAGTACTTTGGAGTAGAAATGCATGTTTTAATCCAATTAATCATGACCTCAGGGAAATTCAGCCCTTTTAGCATGTCAGTAAGGAAGCTCCAGCTGATCGTATCAAAAGCCTTCTTAATATCAATATTGAGCATAACTCTTGGTGATATATGTTTCCTTTTATAGTTTTTAACAAGTTCATGCGCAAGAGATATATTGCTAAAAATCTGTCTGCCTTTGATAAAGGCACTTTGTGCTTCATCCACTAGGTAGCCTATAACTGATTTTATCCTGTTAGCTAGGACTTTAGAAATGAATTTGTATAGGCAATTACAGCAAGCAATAGGCCTGAAATCAGCAGGTGTTTTTGGGCATTGAACCTTGGGGACCAAGGTAATAGCAGTGGAATTTATAGAGCACAGTAACTTACCATTCCTAAAGAAATCCCTTACAGATTTTAAAATATCTTCACCAATGACAGGCCAAGCTGTTTTGAAGAAAGAAGATAGGCCTGAAATCAGCAGGTGTTTTTGGGCATTGAACCTTGGGGACCAAGGTAATAGCAGTGGAATTTATAGAGCCCAGTAGCTTACCATTCCTGAAGAAATCCCTTACAGATTTTAAAATATCTTCACCAATGACAGGCCAAGCTGTTTTGAAGAAAGAAGTACTGTATCCATCAGGCCCTGGTGCCTTGTTATCAGACATGAAGAAGATAGCCTCTTTAATTTCCTCTATAGATACTGGTTTTGATAATTCCCTGTTTTGAGCTTCAGACAGACAAGGTCCAGATTTGATAATGTTCCTGTCTGGGGGAGAAGTAGCAACAGAAGTGCCCAGCAGATTAGTAAAGAAAGAAATAAGCTCGGTAACAATCTCCCCCCCATCAGTTATCCTGTCCACCCTACTGTTATAAAGTACACCCACATTATTGTTATGCCTGTTCTTTTTGACAGTAGAATGAAAATAACTTGTGCTTCTGTCACCATGCACACTCCAAGCTATTCTAGCTTTTTGCTGATAGAATGATTCTTCACAGTCCAGCAACTTGTTATAAGAAGAAAGATTTTCTTTTTCTCTACTAATGAGTATAGTGTCTAGAGGGTTATTTTGAAGTTTGCTCTGAGTGTCTTCCAAGACTAGTTTTGCTCTTTGAACCTGTATTTTCACGGTTACAACAAACTGGAAAACAATTTTCCAGTCCATGTTCATATTCAGCTTTTGGTCGGTAAAACGTATCTGCAAAGAAAAGAAAAGGCCCACACCACAATCAACAAAGAGACTGTAAATTTAGAACTGAAAGTGCAATGTAATTCTTAATTGAGCGGACTGGCAATAAGAGACAAACACTCTTACCTTAAACATTGCAATAAGAGACCAGCTGCGACAAATACACAGCATTCCAGTATAAGTTGGATAAATAATGATATCAGAGAGCTATCTATTATGAGACAAAACATTAAGTTATTTGAATAATCGTTTTCATAATCAACTGGTTATTCCAGAGGTCACACACATCAATCATCCAATGGAATTCTTCAAACTATATTAAAAGCATCTCTAAAATGCATAAAATGATCCCTCACATCAATCATCTGACATGAATATGGATCAGCTGCAATATCAGGGCAATAAGTGTCCAGGTATCTAGATGACATGAATATGGATCAGCTGCAATATCAGGGCAATAAGTGTCCAGGTATCATGAACTGTAAAAAAATAATAAAAAAATAAAAAGAAAAAAAAGAACATCGAAAATGATATATTTCATCAAAGTAAAGTATACACTCTTCCTCTCATCAGTTCAAGGACTG